GATTCATTATCTAAATAGTTTTCCCTATCTATCAAGAAAAAACCTCCAAAGTATGTATAAATCCTTCATATTAAGGGTGTCTTCTTTTTGTGTGAACTGTCTTCTTATAATGTGAACTTTATGCTTTTAGAACATTATCTGAATGGACAAGGTTTGCGAGTCAGTAAGTTGTACACTGAACTATGTTTTATGCGTCTAGAATAATGTGAGTGAGTTTGATTTACGCCGCATTTAGCACTAATCCAGCAATATCACGGCGGGGAACACCCCTCTGTCCCTCTAGAATAAAGGAGATGAGCTCTGAGGTTAATACCTTATCACAGAATGGTTTACGATAATGCGCCTTCGTGTTTGTGTATTGTGCTTGTAGGAAACGGGTGCTCAGACTCGCTGACTTGGTTGACACATGTCATCGTATCCCAAATACGTAGATCGATGCGCATGTTGCTGATCACTGGATTGTCTGGTCCTGACCGCTGCCATTTATCTGGAATATTGCTGAGTGCGGAGTAAAATTAAACTCACTCACTTGTGTATTATTGTTCCTAAAGATTATAAATAACAATCTGGAAGTAGGTTTACAGTCAAGATCATCCCGCAACTGCGACATGAGTTTGCATTTGATATACATTTTGGACATACATTCCCGACTAAAGCTGAATTGCGGCTATTCAAATTCATATAAAACAAACATATTTACTTCATCGTTCTCTTGTGACGCTACTTTCATAATAACCTTCATTACATACGTGTCCACATTTTATTATAACAGTATTAGAAAATAATCTGCATCTGTACATATCAGTTAACAATTTTACATGATCATGTACAGGAAAACACAACAAATAATTCAATGTATACTGGACAAAAATAGTTAGGGATATATGTAAATTTGAAATTATGAATAATGATCTATTTATTCATTGACACACTGATAAATATCAATCATAAAAATACCAATATCCCTAACTTATTTTGTCCAGTATACTTTAATTCAACTCAGAATCTGGTAGATTAAATCCACCAATATAGACTTACACTTCTGCAATTTACTTGTAATCTAATGATTATGTTATTGCTTAACTAAAAGTATTGAACTTAAATTTAATGGTAGAAAATACTGTCTTTGCATTTGCAAATAATGTAATGTGGCATTAAGACATGCTTTTGGCTTAACGGCCAATCCATTCATTCTAGACTAAATATGTTTAAAACACAAAATCGTATACATTTTATAGATTTGTAGAGAATGATAACGACAAGATTGTCCAATCAGAACTAAACCCAATCGTACCATAAAAAAAATACACATTGATATTGAATAATTCTAACTGAACTAAATGCTGCAACATAATATCCTTTTGGCGTTTACAAGAATTGATATGATAATATATTATGTAGTTCTAATAACGTGACATTGCTTACAGATTGTGAAACGAAAGTTTTATAAGCAAATTCCAAGCTCAGATACCAAGACTGGGCAATTTGAAACTTCCTGGCTAAGCGAGGTTGACTTAATCATGTACTGAGTATATTTAAACTCCTTGTGTAAATGTACTCATGGGCCTAACCAGACGTTGTCAGCTGACCATTAACCACTGAAGGATAAAACTTAATAAGGAAGTTGCAATATGACTGTTGAAATGGCATGAAGTGATATGTTTGGTTGTCTTTGTTCACGCAGGTTTGACTCGTTTGTGTACATTGAATGATAAAGATTTCCGAAGTCAACCACGAGTTACATGCACCTAGACTTGCACATGTCTCTTGTCTCTGAAGCAATAGTTAATGGTTTAAATGATCATTTCTAAAAAAAATAAAAGAAGTGACAGACTGAGGTGTACTGTCCGCTTATCTTGCCTTGCCTCTGCCAAGGATAACGTTACTATACATCCATGGGTTTAGCACTCAGTACAGCCTTGGAGCAAGGATACATGCAGCCGTATCTCGCCATAAGGTGGGCACATATATCACCTATATATTGAAAATGTTGAAGGATGTTTGTGTCTGCAAATGTTATTACTGTTTGGGTGGAATACGGGTAGGGGAGGATCAACTAAATCGATATGTAGTGTGACTTCAGTGAAACCTGTACATGTTGCTTGACTTAGATGGTTGAATATGTGTTTCTACAGCGTCTCCAGAACGTAGTTCCCACATTCCGTTAGTATAGTTTCTATAGTGTATGGACATGTATGGTAGATAAATATATGGGAGACAACTCATGCAGCCTTATGCGACGGTAGCGGCAAGCTGATTAGAGTTGCGTGCTAGTAGCCCCCACTTCCTGAGTAAACGCTTAAAGTAGAAGTCATGGCTTATTGTGTTCTGTATATTGAGTAATATCCTCATCACTGACGGAAACGCAATCTGACTTTTAGCAGTAAAGGTGTTGGGACAATTGAGAAATTTGTTGTCGAAGGAGAGCAGTGAGAAAAACTGTTTTTCTTTCTCTTACTGTGACACTTTAGACATCGAGCCAGCTGAATCTGAGGAAATCACAGGAGGGATTGGTTGGTTGGTTAACGCCATATTCCAAGCTATATGGCTGCGGTCTGTAAATAATCGAGTCTGGACCAGACAGTCCAGTGATCAACATCATGAACATCGTTCTACGCAATTGGGATACGATGACGTGTCAACCAAGTCAGTGAGCCTGACCACACGATCCCGTTTGTCACCTCTTACAGCCAGACTCTTTACTTTTGCCGCAAGTAATTTAAAATACATTTATGCAGCAACGGCAAGTCAAGAAGGGCTTATTTCTACACGTATACCGTAACAATAATAGACCCTCAGGTATTGATTTGATTTAAACATATTTTATTTATTGAAGAAAAGGATTGGGCACACGTTATCCAACTTAGTGACGCCCTCTCCCAAAATTCACAACAATTATATTTACATGAGAAACAGAGAAGATATATGAGAGATCTTGAGTTTGAGAATATAACAGATTAGGATGTACAGAGGAATCGTTTAGTTTGATTGATGTTGTGATGGACATGTTTGAAGATATTCAGATTTTCTTCAACGAGAGGCCTGCATTGCCATATAAAATAAGACATATATCTAGAACATATCTATTTTATAAAATATCACTTATGTTAGCCGACAAAGTTTCTGCATGTGTTTTATTACGGGGACAATCCAAGAAATCTTGATATAAATTATAATGTTGATTCTATATAAATTATAGTTGAGCGTACTTACTTTGTATCTTAACCTTGTGTGTAAAATGTATGCTTACGTATACCAGATGAAAAAGTGATGGGGCACTATTACGTATTGTTGTAATATATCTATTAAATGACGAAATGGAGTCACGGTTTCTTACAGTTGACGGGAGATTGTCCTAGGCTTAAATGAAGAGGATGAATATTTTAGTCTTGTATTGGGCACAGAATAATTTCATCATTACGTAAGTTATAATGAGTTCTTTTTCCTACAACCGGTGGTAACAATTCATTCAAAAAAGACGGGGCGATATTATGTTTAATCTTATAAAACAAGCTTAATTTACGCTTCTTTCTTCTCTCTGATAACAATTCCCATCCGGTCTCGTAAAAAAGAACTCTTCTCGACGTCTATTTGGGTAGGCCAGTTACTATACGAGCTGCCTCAAGCTGTAGTCTTTCTAACTTGTTCGAATCTTCAATCAGACACCTCACATGAATTTTCAAAATGTGGCCTTATAAACAATGTGTAAAATCTTGATAATGTTTCCTATTCAATATATATTTATATTTTCTTAAGGCACCAATCATTTTAGAGGTTTTTTCTACAGGTATTGAAAACAATGATCAGTGTGGTTTTACTTGAATGTGTTTTGCGAAAGCGTGTTTATATTATATTAATCCAGTGATTAACGTAATGAGCATCGAGCTACGCAAAACACGATGACATGTGTTAAGTCAGCGAGCCTGACCACCTGGTCCCGTTAGTCGCCTCTTATGACAAGCTTGGGTTGTTGGAGACAGATTCTAACCCGGATCTTGGCGGATATCTTAAATGATAAGTTACTTATGTGCATCAGTACTTTAAGGCGATTGTTGTCTGGATTTAATTTCTCCATGTTTCTCATATTATCAACCACTCGGAGTCAGTAGAATGAGTTTGAATGGGGTATTCATGCTTAACAGCGGCATGGTATCTCAGTGAGCCAGCACTATATAACCAGCTTAAGTCTGGGCCAGTACAAGCAGCCACACATACACAGGCATGCACGTGGTCATATGAGCGAAATATTCTCAAGTACAACGTTAAACCCCATTTCACCTCAGACCCTGCCCTCCTATCAATGGGTGAAGAGAACACAACAGCAATGAAGAACTACCCACCACCATTTGGTGGCCCACATAGCCAGTTAATTCCCTATTCCAGCGCTTGGTAGATGAGAGCCTTCTTTGTGTCAGGCATGTCGATGTCCTGTCCGTGGATCAGACTCATGGACGAAGTGAGGCCAGAATACGGCGACCCAACACAGAACATGGGGACGAGTGGCTCATTGAACCATTGACTTTGAATCGCTCATTAGATCAGTGAATGCCAATCGTCCCCTCCCCACATCCAGTACAACGCCATAGTGGAGGGTGGCCTGTGTGCCGGGAGTGGGGGACATGGTGTTCTGGTGACGCTCCCCGTGTCTGTCACATCTCTCTACACTGACACACCAGGAGCGGCAATGTAGAGAAACATGAATCCCACTGCCCACCTGTCCTGCCTCACACAGTCCCAACTCCAGGGCTGGCAGTAACAGTCCACCGCCCTCACCCTGGTTTCTGTCTCCCAGTATCTGGGGGTGGTGGGTTCTGGAATTAGGCGGGATATGGTATTAGCTGTAATACCCGCCACCGATCTATATAAGAAGGGGGAATCCTGTTTCAAAGATTTTTCACATTTTGTCGAAACACTCGATTTTGAGTCATCTCCTCAGAAGCTTTTACTGTGACATATTCACATCAACTACTGTGATAATTTTTAATATATCAACAATTGTGTGTGGATTCAAAAAACTTATTTAGGTATAAAATATCAATATAAGCTGAAGAAATCTGGTTTTGAAACAATTTTTACATTTTGTGTGTTCACTTTTTCTGTGTCCCTTGACTTACATCACACGTCATTAGAATCATTTACTGTCGGACAATTACATCGTCTACAGCAATAATTTCATCATACTGATATTCATGTGAGTATTTAAAATGTTTTCCAGTCTCAGAAGAACCCAGGAAAGTAGTGAAAGCAGACATCCGAAGAACTTGGTTGTATTTTGTACACAACAAACAGAAGACAAACCGAACCCTTCTATGTCCGCTTCACTCACTTTCCTTGAAACAGTTGATAGAAATATCTCCGTTACACAGATAACTTCACACAGCCTCGTGGCTGACTTCATACAGTTTCATGGCCGATTTCACAGTGTCATGGCCAGGTAATTTTCTATTTCAGCGCTTGGTAGATGAGAGTCTTCTTTGTGTCAGTCATGTTGATGTCCTCCCCGCTGATCAGACTCATGGACGTAGTGTAGCCAGAATACGGCACCCCAACACTAAACATGGGGACGAGTGGCTCACTGAACTCAACATTATACTTGTTTAGAACAACCTGTCTGTCCAGGTCAATGAATGCCAATCGTCCCCTCCCCACATCCAGTACAACGCCATAGTGGAGGGTGGCCTGTGTGCCGGGAGTGTTGGACATGGTGTTCTGGTGACACTCGCCCCGCTCCTCCTCCCTATACACTCTGGTACAGAGACTCCCCTCGTGTATGCCACATCTTTCTACACAGACACACCAGGAGCGGCGCTGGTGAGTAACATACCAATCACTGTCCACCTGTCCTGCCTCACAGAGTCCTATCTCCAGGACTAGCGGGTACAGCCCACCATTCACCCACACCCTAGTTTCTGTCTCCCAGTATCTGGGGGTGGTGGGTAGGGGTGTGAGGGTGGAGGAGGATGGAGGAAGGGGGATGGGGGAGCTACAGGTCCCCTGGTACTTCCGTAGTCTGTTCTGCCCCACATCCCGTGTGTCGGGCCGCGAGTTGACTAGCTGACCGTCTGTAGTTACGTCGCACCATCTTGTGTTGGCCCGAGCCGCGTCCAGGTTGAGTTTAGGACCTGGAAATAAACATTGTATTTGTTGTGCAGCAAGTTTATTTCACTGTTTGTCACAATCTGAGACACAGAAAGATATTTACTAAAATATCGGCTGATTGTGGATTGTTTCCAAACAGTGCGCTGAATGTTCGTCTGTGTTTTTCATCCGTGTAGAATATCTCCCACTACTGAGCTATATTAGCGCGCTAATTATTACGTAAAAATATTACTACGAGAATTCAAAATGCATTTAATTAAGAAACAAGTGGATTAGTTTACACAGGGAGACTCTATAAGGTAGAGTATCCCTGGTTTACAGAAAAACGTAATATAAAAGAATTGTTAGTACACTTCTGATTTACCCCCATTGTTGTGATATCTGCAAGACGTGGACGATGTTCGGGAGTAAAATGCGATCTCAGTAAGTGAATTTCTCAACAAAAGTGTTTGTGTGTAGATTCTATATGAATCTGTCACATTATATAAACAAATAAACTTAACAGTGTCGTGTTTTAGGGTAGTTTTGACATTTCTGTGTTCATCATACACCACATGAACAGGTAACTTCTATGTCCGACAGATGTGTTTTACAGCAATGAAGACGGTTGAGGATAATAGCACATGTTTTACTTCGTTCTGTTGTTTGAACATTTCACTTTTATCAGGGATGGAAAGTTGAATAGGCTGGGTGAAATTAACTTATAACCCAATATATTTGAAATATATTTTACATGAACTGGTTGCAACTGTGTCCACTCTTTCACTGATAGACGGTCACAGTCTCGTTGAGCGAGTTGAGGTCGCGCACTGCGTGCGCGTGTGGTGAGGTGAAATTAGGTTTAACGTCGTGCTTGAGAATATTTCGATCATATGACGACGTACATACGTGTGTATGTGTATGTGCGGCTGCTTGTACTAGTCCAAACTTAAGCTGGTTTTATAGTGCTAGCCCACTGAGATACCATGCCGCAGTGAAGCATGAATACCCCACTCAGACACATTATACTCCGAGCCGACCAGTCCTTGTTGTACCCATTAATGCCAAGCACCAGGCAGGGACCAACAAGTACCATATTTTAACGTCTTTTTGGTATGACGCGGCCGGGGATCGAACCTGCAACCTTCCGCTCTCCGGGCGGACACTCTAACCACTACGCCACGGAGGCGTCTGCAATGCGTGTGTGTGTGCGTACGTGCGTACGTATGTGTTTGCGTGTGTTTGGTTTGCCGTGGGTATTAACAGACCATTACACGTGATATAGATGGTATGCTATTTACCGAAGCTTTTAACAACATTCATGCTTGTTTAAATCTCGTAGACAAAACAGACTCGACTTTGCGAGCGAGCGAGTTTAGTTTTACGCCGGTTTCAACAATATTCCAGCAACATCACGCGAGGGGACACCAGAAATGGGCTTCATACATTGTACCCATGTGGGGAATCAAACGGGAGCCTTCAGTGTGACAAGCGAACGCTTTAACCACTAGGCTTCCCACCACCAGACCTGACTTTGACTTGAGGTCCGACCGCGACTAGAGCACCCGATTTTCGTTATTCGTTATTTGGTCTACAGAATCTATCTTTTGAACAATGCTTTGTCTATGAATACCATCGATATTTATCTAGCTAAATGCGGATGATACATTATTGTTTTAGAAAAGTAAAAGAGTGCGAGAATTTAAGAATTATCAGCACCGACACGAAGTCTTTTAATTTGTTGAAAGTGAAAATGTACCTGGTACCTGTAGAATACTTCCCCTCACTCCAGGGAAATATTAAATTGAGGATACATTTATGAGACAACCGACGTAAGCCACAAGCTGGAATGACAACGAGGTTTAAGAATTTATTTTCCTAAAACTATGGCACAACAATTAACAATTTTATTCTCTAATATTCTCATTTCTAAAATTAGTCGAAGTGGGCGGACATCAACACAAACTAATTACGAACTAACGACTTAAATGTCTGGGCAAAACATTCCGAGAAATTATCGATTACTACATTTCAAAGACTCTGAGAATAAAGATGTGAGCTGTCTCCCAAAGTTGCAGATAGTCTGTTCTTTGGTGGAATAAGTAGTATGAGTAATCCATTACCTATAAAACTAACCTTGTTTCAGAACATGTGCAAATACGCATGTAAAGTTTTAGAAAACCCTCTAGAATAACAATCTACTGGGTTAACACTACGTATCCTTCTCATCTAGCAGGCACGTACTTCTTCAAATCTTTGGTAAGGACGGGGAGGTTCAAGGCCGGAAAACTAAATTCGCGACGTTTCTCGGTTGAATGAGCGAAGCCTTGGCGGTACTTGCAATGCAATGTTATGGCTGAATGAACATAGCCGTCTCACTCAGAGGCTCACACAAATTACAAGTAAAACAGGATCAACGTGAATACTCTCTAATTTGGGAACGTATAAAAATATCAGTAAACTTATTGACACCTTTTCAGGTCTATTCTTCATATTCTTTTTCTTTAATTCGACATTAAATTATCATTCCCATATTAACACTAAATAAACCCGTTGTAGGTTTCCATCACAATAACAGACTACTGTCAATGTACTTCAAGATAACGAAAGTTTGAGCAGTTCGGTCACGTGGAAATGTACCTAAAATACTGCGTTGGGATCTATTGAGCAACATATTAACATAAGGTTCCACAGTTAACTGGAGTTTGTGAAGCTTGAGTACGGAACTGCTGTGTAGGTGTAAAGAAAGACTGGATGCAGGCTGAGTGAGGGGGGTTGACTGGATTAGATATGTGTATGAATGGATGTATAAGTTTGATTGATTTGGGAAATATAATTGGTTCAGGCGGCTTTGATTGGAAAAATGTAGTTGAAAATCAGTGAACAGAGTGTTTCAGTGACAGCTGGTGTGTGAGGGGACGGGCTGAAGTGCGTGCACGTGTGTGCGTGAGCGTGCATGAGGAGGTTGGAGAGTGGGTGGGTGTGGTGTGAGGCGTGGAGTGGTAAAGTTTATCAGTTGGGATGTGTGTGGGTCTGGGATTGTACTCTGGGGGGAGAGGTGGGGTTTGTGGATATGGAAGCGTGGTTAGGTTGGGGGTCATGTTGAATTTTTTTTTTAAATTTTAAAGAATGTTTGGAAATATTTGTAATTTTACACTTAGGTGTCTTTTCGCCCATTAATGGTCCGGTGTGTTAATAATGAATGTATATGTATTTTTCAAAATAGACTATATTATGTTTTACAGATTAAAGATGAAAATGCAGTAGAGAGGGGTTCGGGTGATCCTGGTACAGTCAGGCTGGTAAGGCTCATCATCAGCTCAGGGCCCTTGCCCCCTCTACACGCAGCCCAGACAGCGAATGGGACTTCTCCCAGGAAACGCTGCCTAGTCGAACCCACCAAGAACTTTTCGGAGAATATGAAGGCGTCCCAACACTGCAGCCTTATGCATTACCCAGAGTGTCAGAAGGGCTGCACTCCCATTGGAGAACCCGGGCACTCTCCTGATCGGTGCCAAACCAAGGGCACCGAGAATAATGGGGAGCCTGACGACAGTGTACTGGGGATGCAAGCGAGACATTTCAAAGGCGAGGTCCGCATATTTATCATGCTTTTCCTTAATCTTGCCAATCACATTGGTGTCAAAAGGGACAGAAAATTCAATGACATAAATAAATTCATTGGCTTTATCAAAAAGGACAAGATCAGGTTTGTTGGCAGGAATTCTTCTGAGGCTGTATATGGGCCTATTCCAGACAAGTTTGAAAGCATCATTTTCCATGATGCCCTGGACATGTTCAGGGTCGTACCATGGATGGACCTCGGAGTCAAAGCCACAGGCATGTCGGAGACGGTAGTGAAAGCAACGAGCCATGCCATCATGTCATTTAAGAAATGATGTTTGTGCCGAGGAAGGGCATCCACTGACAAAGTGTTGGACAGTCTCCGTGAATTCATTGCAAAGTCAACATTTCATATTGATATTTTCTTTAAGAATCACATTTAGGCGATTGCGAGTGGGAAGTGACTGGTCCTGAGCAGCAAAAAGGAAGCCCTCAGTTTCACATTTAAGACCAGCCGACTTCATCCAGGCGAAGAAGTCGGTGGGATTGCTATTCTGTTCCACACACTGCATGTACACACGATGCAATGGCTTCTCAGAAAGCTCCACAAAAGACCGACACTGGGCAGACTTGGTGAAGAACTTCACCTGGTTTACTCCCATCGCTATACCGTCCAGCAGTACATCGCCATCAACAAAGTCAACCTCAAATTTCAGATTCTGTCCAACAACCTTGGCACGCTTAAAAGAGCTGTGGAATACCTTGCTTTCATCATGAGTCTTCACATGCATCACCAGAGGATCATTCGATAAATAAATATGGGCAAAAGTACACAATAAAATTCTGTCATGAAGAGCCTCCACATTAATCAAACCCCGACCTCCAGAATTGATTGGCATATATAAACGATTAAGAGAGGAACGAGGGTGGTGAGCTCTGTTATCAGACATGATCCTTCTGGTCAGGCGGTCAAGACTCTGGATGTCTTGTTTTGTCCAGTCAACTACTCCAAAGGAATAGGAGAGGACTGGCACAGCAAAAGTATTGGTTGCTTTGACCTTGTTTCGAGCATTTAGCTCTGAGCTCCAGATTTTCTTTAAACGAGATTTGTATTCGGCCCGAAGTTTTTCTTTAATTTGGGCATTCTGGAGCTTGTCTCGAACTTGCATTCCAAGATAAGTGTAGGTCTGATCTTCCACAAGATGATCAATAACTCCTCCCCCTTGTAACTTGACCGATCCATCATTTACTACCTTGCCACGTTTCAAACGAAGAGTATTACATTTGTCGAGTCCAAATCGCATGCCAATATCATGAGAAAAAGACTCGACAAGGAGAACTGTTCTTTCAAATTGGTATCTCCTTTGGCAAGGAGTTCGATGTCATCCATGTAAAGGAGATGAGTAAGCGGTGTTGGGGATCTGTGCTGAGTATTATTATTATTATTATTATTATTTAAATCGCCGATATGTACGTAATGTATTTCCATTAGTTTGGCCTGAATCATTTCAAAGCCCATGTAACCAATCAGAGTAATCGAGAGACAGAAGGCAGCTTTTAGACAACAAAAACTCGTCAGTTGAGATATTATTCAAATCATAAATTGGTAAATAGAAAATGTTGAAATTGGTTGAATACAATATTATTCCAGGATCTACGAAATTGTACTGAGTGATTGAGTTAAGTTTTACGCCGCTTTTAGCAATTTCAGGGCAGGGGACACCAGAAATTAGCTTCACACATTTTACCCATGTGGGGAATCGAACCCGGGTATTCGGCGTGACGAGCGAACGCTGTAACTACTAGGCTACCCCACCGCCCTGGCATTTTTATCTGCAAACGGTACTTAGAGTTCTTGAATAACCTGCAGTTTGTAATCTGCGCCAGAATCTGAGTATTTCAATTCTGTGCTTTGTTATCACGAAGGTCTAGCCCATATCACAACGGGTAGCAAAAGTTGGGGTATCCATGCCAACTGCTAAGTAAAATCAGGCTCGATTCTGTACTGCATTAATACAATTGAATTCTTTAGTGCCCCAAATTCCCGACCCATATGATAAGACAGGCTCAACGAGATTCTCATACAAAGAATTAAAAACATTATAAACAAAACCACCCGCTGATCTAATTTACAAATTATAACAATAAGTGTTCCATTGTCAAATTTAGCTAAAATTTAAATCTAATTGTTCTTGCAACCAGACACTTAAGTATTTATAAGCGTAGGTAAACTGAAGATAAATAAGTCTAAAATAATGTGTACACGCTACTAAATAAAATCCACTCTATTATAACGCTGTTTTTAAAAGAAATTGCCCTATCCATAGATAGATCTACTCCCGACAAGGATTATGCTTCCCTGAAATTATTCACAGTATCTTTAGCATTGGCAGTACTCCCCTACACCCTGGGAAAATTAGCTCCCCCGGGATATCCGAAATATATACTCTCCCAAAAAAGAAACGCATATAGGAATTTCAACTGTATTTTTATATTTATTTTGAAACATCTTGTAGGCTTTATGAGTCAATGAAATATAGCGAAATTGCACACTGGGAATGCAGACTTATCCGTCTTTGGCAAGAAAGTCAGTTTGAGTGTCACATGGAGACGTGTGGTGGCGCTGAAGTCAATACCTCGTGTGACCACCGTGGGCTGCCAGAACTGCACGGCATCGCCTCGGCATCGAACGAATAAGTCTCAGAATCTCGTGTTGCCCAATCGCAGACCACTCTGCCTGTAGTGCCTGTGCGAGTTGCCGAAGTGTCTGGGGCTGAGGGTTACGGCGTCGCACCCGTCTGTCCAGGGCATCCAACAGATGTTCGATCGGGTTTAAGACCGGTGATCTTGAGGGCCAGGGGAGCACAGTGATGTTGTGGTTCTGGAGGAAGTCTCTAGTGTGACGTGTTGTGTGGGGCCTGGCATTGTCCTGTTGAAACAGCTCCCTCTGGCGATCAATGACTGGAAGGAGGTGTAGGCGTAGGATTTCGCCACAGTACCGTTGAGCTGTCAGATTGCCCTGGATCATCACCACATCACTTCTCCTACGGCAGGTGATCGCTCCCCACATCATAACACTTTCCCAGCCGAATCTGTCCACCTGGGGAACGCAAGCGTCGGCGAAACGTTCACGTCGACGTCTGTACACCCGCATTCTTCCATCGCGTCGTTCCAATAGAAATCGTGAGTCATCACTGAACCAGATTCTACGCCAATTCAGTAGGTTCCAGGCCAGAAGGTTGGTGCACCATTGAACTCGATGTCGACGATATTATTGTCGAAGCACAGGGCCAAACTAAGGTCTTCTGGTGCGTAAACCAGCCTCTCTCAACCTGTTCCTGACGGTCGGTGCAGAAAGCCTCCTCAATCCGGCTATTTGTCGAGCGGTACTGGTCACCGTAGCTGTTCGATGACGCAGGTGATGTACCCGGATGTAGCGATCCTGCGCCGCAGTGGTCGTTCGAGGTCGCCCACTACGAGGAGCATCTGCTACCGCATTCTGCCGGCGATATCTCTCCCAGAGCCGTGAAATGGTGCTTTGGTGAACATTCATGCGTCGGACTGGCCAGCTTCAAGCAAACCAATGGCGATATGACGGTTGGCTTCACTTAGACGTGGCATTTTGCGTTCGTCAACAATATTCCAAATACAGTGAATAATCGACAGACAGCGATCAATCTTTTATACCCCTCATTGAGACTATCTGATCCCCAACTTTCACGTGCATTGCATGTGAATTGTGTATTCTGTGACACTACACGCCGAAATTGAAAATCATGCTGTTAAATACGGGAATTTTACAGATGGTGCGTTTTGTTGTGATGTTTCAAAACATACACACCATAGGACTTATAAACAGAGAAAAACCTTTTGTTAAATGAATCACGTTTTAATTCATTGCTACATGAAATTGCTATTTTCATGATGCGTTTCTTTTTTTGGAGAGTATATATTTTAGCCTTCGCGGCACGACAGCGACGAGAACAGGTATGACACACATACACTCTGCTGCAGTGATTAAAGCTCGGAAACTACGTCTCGACTCGGTGGATGATGAAGACCGGTTATCCTCTAGCCTTCATATTTTGTATTTACTTCTACTGGGTTGATGTAACTGTTGGTGGGTTGATGTCCTCTTATGTCCATCTGAATCGGTGTATCGGTTGGATACTGGTGACTGGTTATTGTCTGGTGTTGGCTTAAATTATCTGTTTTGGTTTATTTGACGTCCAGACCAACCTTTGAAAATGTTAAATTACTACGCCCGTATATGGCAAAAGATAGCTTTCTGACCATTTTAGAGTTTGGACATGTATGTTTTTTCTATTGTGTGCCTTTTGCAAGTTGTACTTGATGTATTAACGTAATAGAATGGAATCGGATGATACGGTGACCTGGATCATTAGCAACCACGATATCTTTCTTGATTCACTGTTGTGTTGTTTAAAGAACGTTCAGTCATCCAATCACTTGTTCTCGGAAATACTTACACGAAACCAGAAGAGGTCGACGTGTCCGGCCAACAACGTGTACACTGCTTCCATAATCTGAAAGGTGAGAGTTAAATGTCTGAAAATATTTAGGTAGTGTCTGGTATGAAACACTTTGCACTGTTTGCCAATGGACGTACATAGAATTTGTTTTGGAACTTCACAGATAATAGTCACGATATAACATAATATACATTATTTTGTATTTCCCAGCAAATCATTCATTTTATTGTCTCAAAAATATTTTGTCTTGTCCCCTGGAAAGGCAACAAAACCTAACCATAACAAAAGCCTATCTCTGCTAAAAGCTGTGTCTGTTATACTCTTCTGATTATATCATAAGTAAAAGAGTGTGTGTGGTGGTGTGTGTGTGTGTGTGGTGTGTGGTGTGGTGTGTGTGTGTGTATTATACATTATTACCTATAGGGGAAGGAGGACACGGGGTAGTATTCTTCCTGTAAGTCCCTAGGGTGGTTTCACCTTGGTAAAAAAGCAACTACACGTAAAGGATGGCCTTCCATTTTATGATCATTAGAAATACTAGCCATGGTGCTGTACCAAAATACTCCCCCAACCGTTGTTTTGCACACATTGGGACACGACTCCCCTTTCAGCAGTTCTGTCCTTCAGAACAAAGTAGAGCATTGCACTTATTGATATATACTACTAGAAAAAGTTAAAGAACACTGTCCCCGTGAAGATCCGGGTTAGAATTATTGATCTTCAGTAACCCATGCTTGTCATAAAAGGAGACTAACGGGATCGGGTGGTCGGGGTCTCTGACTTGGTTGACACATATCTTAGTATTCCAATTGATTGCGGAGATCGATGCTGTCGTTGATCACTGAATTGTCTGGTCCAGACTCGATTATTTACAGACGGCCGCCAAATAGCTGTAATATTGCTGAGTGCGACGTTAACCAACCAACCAACCAACCAAGTAAAGAACACTGACACCTCGAGCTCTGTGTTATCCACCACTAATGCAGATAAACTATAGTCGTGTGAAAGAATGGGCGTACTCTAACTTTTCAGTAGTATATGAATACATTTTGTATTGGAAACTTCAATAAGAACAAAATAATAAACTTTTGATTTCGGCCAGCAAACAATATGTTTAATGTGGCACTGTGAAAATCTACCTTTTTCCAGACAGCCATTGTTTGCTTTCAGTTCCATGAGTTGCTGCTCGTTGTCTCTGATGATCTGCAAAAAAAGCGGCGACGTACAACAAGACAGTAAAGAATAAGCCAGGTACATAGATAGACAGGTTAGGGGGAGGTAGGTAGGTTGTAAGAGAGGAAGGGAGGTAGGTATGTAAGGCGGCAGGTTTAAGGAGGGAGGTAGGTAGGTAGTCAGGGAGGGTATGGAGGTAAGTAGGCAGGGAGGGAGGGAGGGAGGGAGGTATGTATGTAGGAAGGTAGGGAGGAAAAGAGGAAAACAGTTAGTAGTAGGTAGGTAGAAGTAGGTAGGCAGGGGAGGGAAGGGAGGGAGGCAAGTAGGTATGGAAGTAAGTGGGTAAGTAGGCAGGGAGGGAGGTAAGTAGGCAGGGGGAGGTAGAGTAGGTAGGTATGTATGTAGGTAGGAGGCAGGCAGGGGGAGGGGCAGGGAGGCAGAGGAGGGAGGGAAGTAAGTAGGTGAGGGGAGATAGAGAGGCAGGGGGGGGAGGGAGGGAGGTGAAGTGGGTAGGTGGGTAGGGAGGGAGGTAGGGGAGGGAGGAAGGTAAGAAGGTAGGTAGATAGAGGGTAGGCGAGGCAGGGGAGGGAGGAGGAGTAAGTAGGTAGGTAGATAGAGAGGCAGGGGGCAGGGGAGGGAGGGAGGTAGTGGGTAGGTAGATATAGAGGTAGGGAGGCAGGGGTCAGGGGAGGGAGGTAAGTAGGTAGGTAGATAGAGGTAGGTAGGGAGGCAGGGGGGAGGGAGGAGGTAGAAATGGGTAGGTAGATAGAGGAGTAGGAGGCAGGGGGGGAGGGAGGGAGGGAGGTAAGTATGTAGGTAGATAGAGAGTGAGTGAGGCAGGGGGAGGGAGGGAGGGAGGTAGAGTATGTAGGTAGATATAGAGGTAAGGAGGTAGGGGAAGGAGGGAGGTAAGTAGGTAGGTAGGTAGAGAGGTAGGGAGGCAGGGGGGAGGGAGGGAGGTAGGTAAGTATGTAGGTAAATAGAGATGTAGGGAGGGAGGTAAGTAGGTAGGGAGGGAGGAAAAGAGGGGAAGAAGGTAAGCAGGTAGGGAGGCAGGGAGGGGAGAGAGAGGGGAATGAAGGAGGTAAAGTAGGCAGGAGGGAGGTAGGTAAGGAGGCAGGGGGGAGGTATGTAGGTAGGTAGGGAGTAGAGAGAGAGGAATGAAGGAGGTAAGTAGGGAGAGGAGGTAAGTAGGTAGGTAGGGAGGGAGATAGGGAGGGAAGGAAGTAAGTAGGTAGGGAGGCATGGGGAGGGAGGGAGGGAGGTAAGTAGGTAGGTAGGCATTTAGGTAGGTAGGTAGGGAGGGAGGTAGGTAGGTAGGCAGGTAGGTAGGTATTTAGGTGGGTAGGAGGGAGGTAAGTAGTTGGGCAGGGATACAGGAGGATGAAAACCTCCCTACCTACTCACCTACCTACGTACTTACCTCCCTCCTTAGCCCTGCCGCTTTGCATACCTACTTCCCTTTACTATCTACCTACCTCCCCCTACTTATCAACCTACCTACCTGTCCCTTTCTTTATTAATGTCACAAATGCTTATTCAGGGCTGAAGATGAGAAGTGGAGGTAAATATGTATATTTTATGCCCGTTTCATTACCCGACTTTCGAACATCATGGGATGAATGTTTAGTTATTCTGGGAGGATAAATGCCAAATCGAGAAAAGGATGTTTAGTTTCGCATATATCTTAGTCCCTGCTATTTACCTTCATTGTAATGGCACACAGGTGTTTCTCTGTCAGTCGACCCTGCTGGTATTGTTTAAGCTGGTTCATCAGACCTGGAGCTCTTGTGTGTCTTTGCTCTGCTAATTGCCAAAAAAAGATAAAAGCAAATAAAGTATTGAGGGTCATATATTATTACATTTGTAAAGCTGTCCAATGTGCATTGCTTATGCTGCAATTATCCTGATACACAAAAACGTTAGTTGAAGATAAAGCACATAAGATAGCTTTATAAAGATGGGATAACTGAATGTACTAGTTGAAGATAATACCTCGTGTACAAACAGATAAGGTAGCTTTATAGAGATGGGATAACTGAATGTATTAGTTGAAGATAATGCCTCGTGTACAAACATATAAGATAGCTATATAGATATGGGATAACAAATGCCTCGTGTACAAGCACATAAGATAGCTTTATAGAGATGGGATAACTAAATGTATTAGTTGAAGATAACACCTCGTTTACAAACACATAAGATAGCTTTATAGAGATGGGATAACGGAATGTATTAGTTGAAGATAATATCTCGTGTACAAACACATAAGATAGCTTGATAGAGATCGGATAACTAAATGTATTAGTTGAAGATAAAGCCTCGTGTACAAGCACATAAGATAGCTCTATAGAGGTGGGATAACTAAATGTATTAGTTGAAGATAACGCCTCGTGTACAAACACATAAGATAGCTTTATAGAGATGGGATAACTAAATGTATTAGTTGAAGATAAAGCCTCGTGTACAAACACATAAGATAGCTTTATAGAGGTGGGATAACTAAATGTATTAGTTGAAGATAACGCCTCGTGTACAAACACATAAGATAGCTCTATAGAGATGGAATAACTAAATGTATTAGTTGAAGATAACGCCTCGTGTACAAACACATAAGATAGCTTTGTAGAGGTGGGATAACTGAATGTATTAGTTGAAGGTAACGCCTCGTGTACAAGCACATAAGATAGCTTTATAGAGATGGGATAACTAAATGTATTAGTTGAAGATAACGCCTCGTGTACAAACACATAAGACAGCTTTATAGAGATGGGATAACTAAATGTATTAGTTGAAGATAAAGACTCGTGTACAAGCACATAAGATAGCTTTATAGAGGTGGGATAACTAAATGTATTTGTTGATGATAACGCCTCTTGTACAAACACATTAGATAGCTATATAGAGATGGGATAACTAAATGTATTAGTTGAAGATAAGGCCTCGTGTACAAACACATAAGATAGCTTTATAAAGGTGGGATAACTAAATGTATTAGTTGAAGATAATGCCTCGTGTACAAACACATAAGATAGCTCTTTTGAGATGGAATAACTAAATGTATTAGTTGAAGATAACGCCTCGTGTACAAGCACATAAGATAGCTTTATAGAGATGGGATAACTATATGTATTATATGCAGCAAGCTGGCGTTTTATCTTACCTTTGTCTCGACCATTATTTGTGTTGTCAGATTGTGATGTTGCAGAACCTGATACCTGTATGAACAGTGATAGACAAGTACATGTTAGAAGTTCCTAATGTTTCACTTGATGTCTTGTTGCCTTTGATTTACATAGTCTAGCCCGTGGACTATTTATAACACGGAATCAACAAAAGAGGGCGTTTCAATAATATGATTATTTTTTCTAACTATGTTGTTTAGAGATGAATACACGTGATCAAAGGACAGCGCACATGCTAAAGCTACTACCAATGCATTGTGTGTATTTCTACCAGACCACAGTGGACAAAGAAATAAAAAGCATCATGGAAAATATTAATGAAGTGATTTACATGGTGTAAGGGTCAAGTGGATACTGATATGACTGCAAGGGTAATCCTGAAAGGCCTTTATAAATGCTTCCAACATCAGCATGGAGTTTCAGCATGAGGGGGGATATGTGTAGAGCTTTAGTACATTTCATGTTCTCAACTCATGACAAGAACACATGGTATTCACCTTGCAACTGATTATGTAGTGTGTCGACAGAAACAATGTCGTCATACTTACATCAAGTCTTCTCCTGTTCCTTTTGGAAGGCCCGAACTGTTCCCCAATTTCTTCGTGACCTACTGTTGATACCGCTGATGTACCTTGCACTGAGATGACACGTCCTGGGAAGGTTGTTTCATGTCTGCCTGGTAAACCCTGAAACTGAGTCAGAGGCACAAGACCAGTGTTTCCATGCTGACAAATCTTATATTTGAATTCAAATTTTCGTAGGGTACGCACGCACGCACACACTTGCTTTATTGTCAACTAATTCAAATAAAACTGCGTCATTTTCAGAAAATATTAGTAATTCACTGTCAGTCTACATAGACAGTACTCACGACTTGAAACCCTGGTATCTCTATGTCTAGCATAGATAAGTCCGCCTTGTGGTTGGCCAGGTATTTCATCACAGCCTGCCACTCCACTGAAGAAAGAAATAGTGTATATAGTGTATATGATGCATCACGTGCATGTACTTTTCCATAAATAATACGTCATCAAAAATGAGTCATTGTCTCCTTTGGCAATAGTGGTAGTAGTAATAGTGACAGTGATAGTGGTGGTAATTCTGTATGGGATATTCAGTTACATTTAAACGTTTCCAGAAACTGATTACACACCCGTGTATAATTTGTGGAGTTGTCCTTTTCTACGATCCCTGTCCTGAAACAAAAAAAATATGTAAATAGCAATAGGACCCAATATATCTATCTACAACAAACGAAAGTAATGAGTATTACAATTAATTAATGATTATTAATGTTTTCATGCATACAGTGTGTGGTCCAGTGTGTTAACTGTTGTGAAATCATAAACAGTTAGAAAAGTCTTTACCTTCAGTACGTTGTCCAGTTCTTGATTAAGTGTTTGGATCTCGTCCCAGCCTGCAAACAAACATCAACTATAGGTATGATAAACCATCTTAGTGTACATCTACGTCATCAATTGTATAAACTCACTCTGCATATGTATCTCAATCTGTATCACAACCAATCACTCTGTATATCAACCAGCTCTGCTCAAATCACTAATTAGTAATCCAATGTACATCATGATTGTCAATTGTATTTACTCACTATGCTGCTACGTATGCTCTCTCATTGTTTCTCCTTGTATCACTTGTTTGGTAACGGTGTTAGTATCTACTCCGAGACGACCTGGCATTTATTGTAATAAAGAAGTTGGCTATCCACAGAACTTGGTTTTCCTTCATCTTTACAACTTCTAAAATGCCTCTAAAAGAAGATACAATAAACCTGTTCTGGGTAACCTCAATAGTGAATGACCTAATTACTGTACCGAAATTTGCAGACACAAATTATAGGAAGCAACCTGCTGCACAGGAAACATCCTGCAGCATTTCATCTTCAAACTAGATACAGTTGTTACTGCTCAATGTACTACTGGACAAGCAGAACTAACCTGAAGGACACTCATAGATACTCACGGCTCTCAGGATCTTTTCCATCTGTGTTCTGCACCTCAGTTTCCATATCGTTTATCTGGCCACCTTCTTTCCATACCTGCTGAAATGTATACAGTAATGTGATCTGTGACTGGTTTTATATTCAATGGTATTAGTTGATATGTCAGCTTTCTATAATTGTTATCTTGACAGACTTCAGTTAAAGATAACATACATCTTTCTTAAATATGGAGCAATCAAACATAATATTACATATGAAAACAGAAAATTAGGTTGCAACCCTACTAGGAAGGTAGGGTTTTAGTAAGCTACGTACTGGGATATTAGATTCCATTCCTGCATTCTCTGATTCAATGTAGAACATCTCTGGAACAAGCAAAAACAAAGATTTTGTTGAAACTAACTTCATTCAAGATTGAGAGAGGGTGAATTGAGAGCAACGTGCAGTCATGATAAATCCATTTTGAATCCTGCTCCAAACTAAGAAACACAAACACAACTTGCAACTTACCCATTTGTTGTTGAATGTCTGGACTTTGAACATGGCCAACCTAGAATAGAAATGACAAGTTACCTCCCTTGATCTTGAAGTAACAAGTGGAATCACGTGAACGGACATTCCCATGGAACTGATCACTACAACTTGTTCAATCCTTATGATATTGGCACAACGATTCTCGAGATAATTTGATAATTTGATCTTAAGAATACCTCGAGTGCTACAATGTGTGTCACCACTTACCATAGCAACGGTTTGTTTCGATTCTGTATGTTTCATTATCCCCAAAGCTGAAAGATCAAAAGAACAAACAGAAACTAAAATTAAGAATCAGATATTGTGAAAATGTTTTACAACTGTTGTACTACACATTGCTTTTAAATATGTCAATATCTGAACTGTCATTTCATTTCCTTCGGTACAATTATATAATAGGTAGATAAATAACTGATGGTGAATGGAAAGATAAAGAGCAGGTGCACGATGATGACAGAGACAGAATGAGAGATGACTAGCATGGCAGTGAGGCACAGAATTGGATAGTTGGAGAGCGGATAAAGAGAAGAAAAATCATACGAAGCATGGATGAGGCAGGGGACACCAAAAAATGGGCTTCACATACAGTTCCCATGTGGGAAATCGAACCCGGGTCTTCGGCGTGATGAGCGAACCTTTAACCACAAGGCTACCTAATCGCCCCGAAACATGGAAGGAGAACTAAATGGAGAGATGAAGGTTGGACAAAGCTTCTGGGTTATAAGCGACACTATACATTGGATCGATGGTCAAGAATGGAAGTTGGACAGGTGAAATGATGGAGGGACACTATCAAATCCGGCAGTATTTATTTGGCTACAGAGTGTTAGAGGCGTATGGTGATCATCTGTCTTATTACCAACACAACAAACCTTCTCTCAAGAGAACATTTTTAACGTCTTGACAGATCTGATCCGTTTTATCTTGGATTATGACCTGAAACAAAATACATAGATTACTCACACTGGGTCTTTCATCATCAGGCCTTGATTGTTAGTCACTACTTTGTTTGCGATTCATACACAAGCTCTCTACAATTTCTTACCGATCTGAGAAGCGGGACAAGATTTTTCCTTTCTCTTAATCCGTCATGTAAGTCTGGCAACCAAGCCTCTTGTGTAGCAGACAGTTGCTTGAAACCACCCAAAGCTGAAGTGAATAAGAGTAAATAAGTAACAAATTATCACATACATCTAATATAATCGTTCCAGATGTGACCACAGCTACTCACATGCATACTGACCTTTGCTTGCTGTAAGGGGGCTTGGCTTGTATTCCAGAGTATGGCGTACTTCATGAGCCTGCAATGTGTCAAAGTGGTATAAATACACAATCACTATTTGGTATACGTTATCACACAGACATATCTTTGGTAATATGTGTGCCTTATGTCCATGTTTGGAACATGGTTGTAAATGTAAAGTAACAAATAACGGTAGGTTTCTATAAATGGACAAAATGGACAGGATTTTGGTCCCACCACTTCTTAAGATTACACCAGTAAACAAAACAACGTATGGTTATATGTAGAATATAACTTTAAACAAAATCAACAAATGTCAGTAAAATCCTCAAGGAACTTACATAGGACATAGGCCCTGTTGATCCCAGTTTGAAACTAAATATTTTCAGCACACTGAAGTCCCTGAGGATGTGTTCAATCCGTTCCTTCCAAGATTCTGTAATATCGTTGAAAATAGAAGTATAATAATCACCCTACACTAACTCATGAATGTATAATTTTTACTAAAATCTTACCATTATGTTTATTGAGGTTGTTATTTGCACAAGATCCGTTTTTCACATCACCATAAGCTGGTTTATTATGAACACTTACCATTAGATAATGCATCTATTTGTTTCTCCATCCCTTCGACTTCCTGTTTAAATAGAATAAATGAAAGCTTTGTTTATAATGAATCACTCGAGATCTAGAACAATACAACTTCACATTGATGGAACATTTTAACCTTCCATTTTAACCTTTCCTGATAGCGAATAAATTATTGGAATGAGATGACTTTTCTCTACTGAAGTCTGGTTTGGTTGGAATGCTAACGTATGTGGATTAGTAATCATGAAGGTGAGTCTCTTCATGAGATCAGTATTCAATTAATATGGTTCATCTTTTTGAAAGTTATTGTTACAATAGGTAGTTTGGGGAATTGTATTCAAACCCCATATGGTGTTAAACTGTGGACATATTTGAGAAATATTATGCTATTACATGTTTCGATGCATTTATTTGTTTATGTAGTAAGAAGCATCTCTAAACCCTGGCATGAGGAGCTTATTACAGAAGTGTACATTACCATTTCTGCTTCCAATATTTTGGACTTCTGTTCCTCGATATCAGTTAGATCTGAAGTGAAGAAAGTCCAAGTCTTAACAAACTAAAATGATTGTTCCATACAAAATAATTGTTTTGCATCACCAGTACATAAGAACTACAGTGGATATTCTTACCAAGTGCTGTTTGTTCTTGTTCTCACCCGAATCTATCAGAATATACATCCTTTATGACCTGACATGTTAGTGTGTGTAACAAAGAAAGAGTTTTGTATTTTATTACCAAGTACTGAGCACTGTCTATTCAGAGTTCTACGAATATGTAAATATACTCACAGGTTGTAAATCGCCAATGTTGTCCGCTTGTTTGTGCCATGACTGTGTTGGTTTCATGGACTATATTCACACAGGACGACATGTCCACCATACTGAGATCCTCTGCTGCTACAGCTGATGGGTACACCGACCTGAAACAGGGTTTGTACAAAACTTAAGCACAGGTTTCAAGCAATCGTTCAAATGTTGAGGCCTATTAAAGTAGAGGCTCTTCCTGAGGACACACTTACGAAATTGATATTTTGGGTTATAACATTTGTTAATTCGTGACTGGATACGACTACCAATGTTGACAATGGCAATAACACCTAACTAGATCCACTGACTAAATCAACAAACCTGAGCCTGTCCCTCTCCTGTCGTGACCTACATACAAGCATAGTGTCCCCAGTCTGTTCAGTCTCCTAGCCACCTCCAGCATCAGAGTCGTGGCTCCACTACCGGGCATACACTTGACCTCGACGTCCTTACTGTTTATGTTCTCCACCAGAATGATACATTGTTCTTTGGTGAGAAATCTAAGATAGTCGCCATCGGTGTCTCCACTTTCTTCTTTTAGCACCGACTTCGTTTCAGCAACACCAGCCCAGAAAGCAGTCAGGACTTTCTCATACCTACTGGGAGTCATTACCAAAGAATCGTTTGTGACAAAATGAGAAGACTCATTTGCCAGCTTCTTTAATCGATTCTTAAATCCAACAGCGTCCTCAAGGAGAGAAATGGGAATGACTCCATGGATTGAGTTGATATCCTCATCAGTGAACCTGCTAAGTGTCTCTATCACTCCTCTCGCCACTGACATACTGTATGTCACTGCTTCAGGACAGTCTTCATCCCCATCAACCAGTGACAAAACTATCACAGACTGTGTAGGCAGAGCCAGGAATACATCACATACCGCGTTGCTTGGTCGGTGTGATGTGCAGAAATCTAACGCAACTGATAACGAATGGGACAAGAACACAAAACATGGTCCAGCCTTTGGGTTTGGAAAATCTACCACTTCATTGGTGAGAGGATCAAAACAAAGTCGTATGCATGATTTTCTATGTGTTCGATGAGTCGTTCTTTCACTTGTGCTAAAGGGGTCCTTAGTTTTGTTGGCGCAAAATTCTGTCCATCTGGAAAATAAAATTAATCAAATAATACATCTCGATGGAGGTATGTCCGTTACACATAGGATAGTCCTGTGTCAATTTTGTGACACTGCTTCGACACGAGTATAACACAAAGGAATCGTAAAGGGACAGAAATGCTTCACTTGGGCAAACCTGACATGGAAGCTGATGTAATTGGGTAGCTGAAAGGCAATATGGAAGGCTTTTAGGGGCAATACGCCTTAGCTAATCAGAATAGTTGACTAAAACCCATTCGCAAATGGCTTCAGTATAAATCAACATGAGCAAGACATTGCTACATGCTTTATGGTTTGCTTCAACTGTTGAAGGCATTCCCATAGTCTACGTCAATGATCTACTAAGTTTTACAATGACTTAGTTACCCTTCTCAACAAAGTATCTTCTGATTTCAAAGAGACTGTTTCCAATCTGTTTCAGGTCAGGACGAAAGATGTCATTTGTCCTAAGATAAAGATCCTGCTCATCCTCCTTTGTGATATTTTGCTGCAACATAAAGTAAAGGTTATGAATATTAAATAAAACAGAGGGAAACAGTATTGTTGATGACCGAGACGTTCAACAGCTTTCAGTTCTTTAGGAAAACATAAATGTACTTGTGATTGTCTTTTATTTATGGATATGAGATGGTCTTTGCCTTTAGCAGCTTTATAGATAAACGTTGTACCAAATATATATGCAGGTAAAATATGTTCAAATACATATATAGATGTTGTGCAAGTGATTAAGAAGAAGTGGACATGGAAGCTTTTACATGATATGTTGTGGATCTCAATGCCTATGCGTGTAGCTATTCCTGACCAAGAGGCAAACTCATGAAATAAATTGTACTTGTCCTATTGCCAGAAACCACCACTTTCATATACTTTCGAAAACGATCACTTGACTCTGTCGAGAAAATGAAATAAATGTGTGTAAACTGTTTATGTGGTAAGAAGCATCTCTAAACCCTGACACGAGGAGCTTATCATTACAGAAGTGTACATTATCATTTCTACCTCCAATAGTTGGGACTTCAGTTCTTTGACAGCAGTTGGATCTGAAGTGAAGAAAGTCCAAGTCTTTAACAAACTAAAATGTCTGTTGCATACAAAATGATTAGTTTGCATCAACAGTACATAAGAACTACTCTGGATATTCTAACCCAGTGATGTTTGCTCTCGCTCTCTCTCGCATCTATCAAATAACATCCTTTATGACCTGACATAGCAGCGTGCGTAACAATTAAAGAGTTTTGTATTCTATTACCAAGTACTGAGCACTGTCTATTCAGAGTTCTACGAATATGTAAATATACTCACAGGTTGTAAATCGCCAATGTTGTCCGCTTGTTTGTGCCATGACTGTGTTGGTTTCATGGACTATATTCACACAGGACGACATGTCCACCATACTGAGATCCTCTGCTGCTACAGCTGATGGGTACACCGACCTGAAACAGGGTTTGTACAAAACTTAAGCACAGGTTTCAAGCAATCGTTCAAATGTTGAGGCCTATTAAAGTAGAGGCTCTTCCTGAGGACACACTTACGAAATTGATATTTTGGGTTATAACATTTGTTAATTCGTGACTGGATACGACTACCAATGTTGACAATGGCAATAACACCTAACTACATCCACTGACTAAATCAACAAACCTGAGCCTGTCCCTCTCCTGTCGTGACCTACATACAAGCATAGTGTCCCCCAGTCTGTTCAGTCTCCTAGCCACCTCCAGCATCAGAGTCGTGGCTCCACTACCGGGCATACACTTGACCTCGACGTCCTTACTGTTTATGTTCTCCACCAGAATGATACATTGTTCTTTGGTGAGAAATCTAAGATAGTCGCCATCGGTGTCTCCACTTTCTTCTTTTAGCACCGACTTCGTTTCAGCAACACCAGCCCAGAAAGCAGTCAGGACTTTCTCATACCTACTGGGAGTCATTACCAAAGAATCGTTTGTGACAAAATGAGAAGACTCATTTGCCAGCTTCTTTAATCGATTCTTAAATCCAACAGCGTCCTCAAGGAGAGAAATGGGAATGACTCCATGGATTGAGTTGATATCCTCATCAGTGAACTTGCTAAGTGTCTCTATCACTCCTCTCGCCACTGACATACTGTATGTCACTGCTTCAGGACAGTCTTCATCCCCATCAACCAGTGACAAAACTATCACAGACTGTGTAGGCAGAGCCAGGAATACATCACATACCGCGTTGCTTGGTCGGTGTGATGTGCAGAAATCTAACGCAACTGATAACGAATGGGACAAGAACACAAAACATGGTCCAGCCTTTGGGTTTGGAAAATCTACCACTTCATTGGTGAGAGGATCAAAAACAAAGTCGTATGCATGATTTTCTATGTGTTCGATGAGTCGTTCTTTCACTTGTGCTAAAGGGGTCCTTAGTTTTGTTGGCGCAAAATTCTGTCCATCTGGAAAATAAAATTAATCAAATAATACATCTCGATGGAGGTATGTCCGTTACACATAGGATAGTCCTGTGTCAATTTTGTGACACTGCTTTGACACGAGTATAACACAAAGGAATCGTAAAGGGACAGAAATGCTTCACTTGGGCAAACCTGACATGGAAGCTGTTGTAATTGGGTAGCTGAAAGGCAATATGGAAGGCTTTTAGGGGTAATACGCCTTAGCTAATCAGAATAGTTGACTTAAACCCCATTCGCAAATGGCTTCAGTATAAATCAACATGAGCAAGACATTGCTACATGCTTTATGGTTTGCTTCAACTGTTGAAGGCATTCCCATAGTCTACGTCAATGATCTACTAAGTTTTACAGTGACTTAGTTACCCTTCTCAACAAAGTATCTTCTGATTTCAAAGAGACTGTTTCCAATCTGTTTCAGGTCAGGACGAAAGATGTCATTTGTCCCAAGATAAAGATCCTGCTCATCCTCCTTTGTGATATTTTGCTGCAACATAAAGTAAAGGTTATGAATATCAAATAAAACAGAGGGAAACAGTATTGTTGATGACCGAGACGTTCAACAGCTTTCAGATCTTCAGGGAAACATTAATGGACTTGTGATTGTCTTTTATTTATGGATATGAGATGGTCTTTGCCTTTAGCAGCTTTATAGATAAACGTTGTACCAAATATATATGCAGGTAAAATATGTTCAAATAAATATATAGATGTTGTGCAAGTGATTAAGAAGAAGTGGACATGGAAGGTTGTACATGATATGTTGTGGATCTCAATGCCTATGCGTGTAGCTATTCCTGACCAAGAGGCAAACTCATGAAATAAATTGTACTTGTCCTATTGCCAGAAACCACCACTTTCATATACTTTCGAAAACGATCACTTGACTCTGTCGAGAAAATGAAATAAATGTGTGTAAACTGTTTATGTGGTAAGAAGCATCTCTAAACCCTGACACGAGGAGCTTATCATTACAGAAGTGTACATTATCATTTCTACCTCCAATAGTTGGGACTTCAGTTCTTTGACAGCAGTTGGATCTGAAGTGAAGAAAGTCCAAGTCTTTAACAAACTAAAATGTCTGTTGCATACAAAATGATTAGTTTGCATCAACAGTACATAAGAACTACTCTGGATATTCTAACCCAGTGCTGTTTGCTCTCGCTCTCTCTCTCGCATCTATCAAATAACATCCTTTATGACCTGACATAGCAGCGTGCGTAACAAATAAAGAGTTTTGTATTTTATTACCAAGTACTGAGCATTGTCTATTCAGAGTTCTACGAATATGTAAATATACTCACAGGTTGTAAATCGCCAATGTTGTCCGCTTGTTTGTGCCATGACTGTGTTGGTTTCATGGACTATATTCACACAGGACGACATGTCCACCATACTGAGATCCTCTGCTGCTACAGCTGATGGGTACACCGACCTGAAACAGGGTTTGTACAAAACTTAAGCACAGGTTTCAAGTAATCGTTCAAATGTTGAGGCCTATGAAAGTAGAGGCTCTTCCTGAGGACACACTTACGAAATTGATATTTTGGGTTATAACATTTGTTAATTCGTGACTGGATACGACTACCAATGTTGACAATGGCAATAACACCTAACTACATCCACTGACTAAATCAACAAACCTGAGCCTGTCCCTCTCCTGTCGTGACCTACATACAAGCATAGTGTCCCCCCAGTCTGTTCAGTCTCCTAGCCACCTCCAGCATCAGAGTCGTGGCTCCACTACCGGGCATACACTTGACCTCGACGTCCTTACTGTTTATGTTCTCCACCAGAATGATACATTGTTCTTTGGTGAGAAATCTAAGATAGTCGCCATCGGTGTCTCCACTTTCTTCTTTTAGCACCGACTTCGTTTCAGCAACACCAGCCCAGAAAGCAGTCAGGACTTTCTCATACCTACTGGGAGTCATTACCAAAGAATTGTTTGTGACAAAATGAGAAGACTCATTTGCCAGCTTCTTTAATCGATTCTTAAATCCAACAGCGTCCTCAAGGAGAGAAATGGGAATGACTCCATGGATTGAGTTGATATCCTCATCAGTGAACCTGCTAAGTGTCTCTATCACTCCTCTCGCCACTGACATACTGTATGCCACTGCTTCAGGACATTCTTCATCCCCATCAACCAGTGACAAAACTATCACAGACTGTGTAGGCAGAGCCAGGAATACATCACATACCGCGTTGCTTGGTCGGTGTGATGTGCAGAAATCTAACGCAACTGATAACGAATGGGACAAGAACACAAAACATGGTCCAGCCTTTGGGTTTGGAAAATCTACCACTTCATTGGTGAGAGGATCAAAAACAAAGTCGTATGCATGATTTTCTATGTGTTCGATGAGTCGTTCTTTCACTTGTGCTAAAGGGGTCCTTAGTTTTGTTGGCGCAAAATTCTGTCCATCTGGAAAATAAAATTAATCAAATAATACATCTCGATGGAGGTATGTCCGTTACACATAGGATAGTCCTGTGTCAATTTTGTGACACTGCTTCGACACGAGTATAACACAAAGGAATCGTAAAGGGACAGAAATGCTTCACTTGGGCAAACCTGACATGGAAGCTGATGTAATTGGGTAGCTGAAAGGCACTATGGAAGGCTTTTAGGGGCAATACACCTTAGTTAATCAGAATAGTTGACTAAAACCCATTCGCAAATAGCTTCAGTATAAATCAACATGAGCAAGACATTGCTACATGCTTTATGGTTTGCTTTAACTGTTGAAGGCATTCCCATAGTCTACGTCAATGATCTACTAAGTTTTACAGTGACTTAGTTACCCTTCTCAACAAAGTATCTTCTGATTTCAAAGAGACTGTTTCCAATCTGTTTCAGGTCAGGACGAAAGATGTCATTTGTCTCAAGATAAAGATCCTGCTCATCCTCCTTTGTGTTATTTTGCTGCAACATAAAGTAAAGGTTATGAATATAAAATAAAACAGAGGGAAACAGTATTGTTGATGACCGAGACGTTCAACAGCTTTCAGTTCTTCAGGGAAACATTAATGGACTTGTGATTGTCTTTTATTTATGGATATGAGATGGTCTTTGCCTTTAGCAGCTTTATAGATAAACGTTATGCCAAATATATATGTACGTACCAGAAGCTTCCACATCCTGCCTGCAATAATCAAAAGTCGAGACATGAAGAATATTGTAAAAAAGACATTTCCATCGACCAGTACCACACTACGTTCTCAATAAAGATTACTCGAATGCAACATGATATAAGATTAGATTGTTTAGTGAGGCATCAGTAACTGATGATTATTCATATACACATGCTCATGATAAAGACGGATTCGAACAGCTTATGTCAGAGAATTCTTAATGATTACGACAAGGGTTTCATACAATACTTTCATGTAGAGATTAATTTGACAAAGATGATCAAGGATAATACCTGGTGTATAATTGGTACAGGAAAGCAGTTCATCTATCTATCTATATATATATATCTATATATATATATATATATATATAGTCCATACTGGTATCTGCAATGTCAAACGTTCAACTTAAATATGCTTGTTGTCATCATGGCTATCTCTAGAAACTGTTTAGTCAGTATCGCGAGTATCCACCTCTAACACGAATCACATTTTCAAGACGTCTTCTCATGCTTGAAATGAGACGTCTGATTCTAAGCATCGGGATTCTCTGCCACTCCTCGTGAAGAGCCTGTTGCAGTTCATCCATATTCTGCACAGGAGGATCTCTGGCTCTCACTTGGCGCCCAAGATAATCCCATAAATGTTAGGGGTGGGTATTGCAGACAATGTTCATATTGCGATATATTGCGATGCGGAAGCATATATCGCGATATGTATTGCAATATATTGCAAGGATTATTTTTTTAACAAACACTACATATAATCGAGTTAATGCTTGATTATAAAGCATAAACACAACAAAATCACTATGATTGATTAACCTTTTATAAAAACTTTTAATCATGACAAAATAAAAATGTAAGTAACATTTGGCGCTAATGAAACAGGGAAAAGAACAATTCAAAAAACGGAAATATCCGAAGATTTCCGAGTGTTACGAAGTTTTCAGAATGCATGTCAAAATACCGGTTTTCGATCAGCATATCGCAATACGTATCGTTTTCATGTCTGAACCGGTAAATACCGGTAAACCGGTTATATTGCGCAGCCCTAGTGTGTGTGTATATATATATATATATATAGATATCTGTGTGTGTGTGTGTGTGTGTGTGTGTGTGTGTGTGTGTGTGTGTGTGTGTGTGTGTGTGTGTGTGTGTGTGTGTGTGTGTGTGTGTGTGTGTGTGTGTGTGTGTGTGTGTGTGTGTGTGTGTTAATATATATCATATTAAGAAAAACCTTAAAGGAAACAAATTAGAATTCAATTAAAAACAAATCTACGTTTCTCTGCTCAACCTTCGATACTTTCATTTTCGTCATAATTCTTACGGGTGTACGTTAAAATACAATACCAAGTCATATTCTGTACAATTTTGGTTAACAATACCGTGATTACATTAGAAATTCACAGGAGGTAGTCTCAGGGGCATATCTGAAACTTGTGATTGTCGCCCTGATTATACACGTGCATGCAGGATCTACGGGATAACATTAAACAAAACATCCTTGTCCCCCATGGATACGAAACGATGGATTGCTGGTGACAGTGTCACGACTAATGGATATGGACACCGTTGTATTATCCCTTAAGTAACCAGAGACGTCCATTGATGTCCCTGAACCACACCACTCTCCTATTTAAACCACCGCTGGGAGCTGAATTAGCCAGAAATAACGCTTTTGGTAAATGTGGTCCCTCACCCCCATTTCCGATGTTGCTGTCTGTGACGAGGAATCTTTCAGAAAGTATTAAAATAGTGTTTCTGTGAAAATTGTACATAAGAGAAAATCGTGGTCAAAACCGACTGACATGGCAGCAAACTGGAAACTATGAACTCCCAGGCGCTTTGTTTTTACATTAATGGAAGGGACACCCTCTCTCAGTCGTGATTTCCAATGGTTTTACTTCCACGAAATAATATAGTACCGACACGATATTGTTATTCATAATACGGTATTAATGTATTCTATCCTCTTCGCCGTAAAGAAGAACGGTTTTAAAACGCGAGATAAACGTTGCCATACGTGTTATGTTTTCTCCAGAGAGTCCAGGTAACACGAGGCATGTTTTGACTGAACAATTTAGTCAGGCGTCGGTTATCTCCCATTAATAACTCGCTAACCCAGTCACTTCCACGCGAGATGGCTTCGCGCAGTTTCAAATAAAGTAAATATGTTTCCACACAATAAAAAACAGGTGTGCGTTCGCGTGTTTCGACAGCTACATGTATATTTCGCTTCTAGGATGAATAAGCTTTCAGAAAGTAATGAATTTACTTTTCTGAAAAATATGCACGCGTTTCTGTGTGACATGCAGAATATCCTTGTCTGTAGTCAGGCAATCACGCACATGAGTGACCCCCCTCTCATAACTGAAGACCGTCTCCCGTATACGTTATGTTGGTTGGTTGGTTGTGTAACGCGCCGCACTGAGCAGTATTCTAGATCCATGGCGACGGTCTGTAACTAATCAAGTCTGGACCAGACAATCCATTGATCAACGTCAAGAGCATCTATCCACGCAATTGGGATACAATGACATGTGTCAACCAAGTCAGCGAGTCCTACCACCCGATCCCGTTAGTCGCCTCTTATGACAACCATGGGTTGCTGAAAACCAGTTCTAATCCGGGTCTTTACGACCCCCACACATTGTGTCCTCTACAGTTAACTATGAGGACTACACTTCGTTCGACTTCTTTATAAAGGTTGATACATTCACCTTCAACGAATACCTTTAATTTTGTTTGAGGAAACTGTAGATATATTCATTGACGTTGTTTCGTCTGTCGTATGTTAGCCCCATAACTACATGTGTATTACAGTTTATAGATCTGATACACGAATGATTCGTATAATATAAATGGATATTTTTAGACAGGGGACCAAACATTTGCGACCCTATTACCTAAAATAACATTTGTCAGTAAACGTGAAGGGGGCAATTAACAACATATCATTGAATTCCTTCGCTTGTTTATCGTGACTAAAACATATCATACTTGAATAATTTATAATGTTATATCTTAAAATCTGTCTACGAAGGATAGTAAAACAACTAGAACATCACAGTCAGATATTTAAAACTAGCATGTAACTTGAAATTATACACTATTTAGGACGTTAGATTATAAAAACGGGCTATAGATCACAAGCAACTGAAGGTAGATCACCATACTAGGGACCATAGGGGCTTACATTACTTTTGCTACCTGCATGGACCCCAGCTGGATTTACATCATCCCTTCATGTGGTGAGATTAAGCCATTATTTAAAACAACAAATATAAAAATAACAACAAGTACGATTAACAATTTGTCGACCTTATTTAACTTTTTGGACTTTGTTTTAAGTAAAAAAAGAACGCATTGTAATTTAAGTCACTATCAAACAGTACTTCAAACTTTGAAATGAAACTTACCAAAAAAAATTGGAAACTTTGAAAATGAAGATGGACCATTCTGAGGTTCTTTTCACAAACTGTGACGTCCTTTACACACAAGTTATTCACATGTTAGGTACACATGTAGTGTGTGTCAAATCAAAATTACCTTTGAAATATTACAATTTGTGAAGGCTTCATTTCATCAAGTTTTAATTATCTTTCTAGACATGAAGCAAACATATATACCAAACTTGATTCTCACCTGAACCAAGATTCTAGCACGACATTGTGTGATACTCGATTCTGATTGGCTGAGAGCTCATCAAAACCGTACTTAAAAGGCAGTTTAAGACCGCTAATTAAAGTGACCGATTCACGCGTATGAACACAACTAACTCGTTGACCCTATTGCTTGTAAACAAACATGTCGGACATCGGCAATTTCTATCTCGGCAGCATCTTTGGTGTTTTTGAAGTAAAAGCAATTAGTTTGAAGAAGAATTCCTTGACCCTAATCCAATTGAAGCAACTACGAAGCTGGAAAATCCGTCAGCAGCGCAAAAGCGTCAGTATATTCAAACCGGGTACAGATCTACGTGTGTTGACGTCGACGCCCACACGTCCTAACCTGACCGCTTCCGTCCCGGCCGTAATGCCCAGTCCTTCCACTTCCATTGTCCATGTATCCCATATAAAACGCGGCATGTCAGGTTTTTCTAAATTGGGAATAGAAGGCTGGTAATCAACAATTATTTCCGTGAATAAAGTTAGCGGCGACTAAACTTAGCGAGTTCACGTCTTGAATTTGGGCGAGAGTCGATTGTCATACAGTAGGGAGATCAATGAATTCGCTTGAGAAAAATCAAATAATTGTACTTGGTCACAGTATAATCTGTATTTTTTTATTATTTATGTATGCCACTTGTTACAAATACAAGCATACTGGTACCTGAAATAAAGCATTTATGTTGTTGAAAAAGTCTTATTTTGTTCATTACACAACCTGTCCCTCAACGGGACGATTTCCAAGCGATTTCCAGGAAAAAGGCCCCTTCGCGCCTTGTGTTCTTGCGCGCCAAACAGTTCGGTTTTAAACCGCTTACCAGTCGTGCTAGAATGAAGATAAAGCTACTCTGTTTTCAATTTTGCTGTCCTTTGTCGTTGATTTAAGACCGCTAAATGTTTCCTTTAAAACCGATAACGCGTTCGGTTTTTAATTTCATTTAGCGGTCTTAAATCAACGATAAAGGACCGCAAAATTGAAAACAGAGTAACTTTATATTCTAAGTATACCATATTACTAGTTATACAGATCTGAGTAGGTAAGATGAACTTTAGGCGACATCAGTAACTTACCGTCGTATGTTACATCAGTTCACTGCTGAGATATTTTCCATTTTGTGAGAGCACGTACCCAGTCCTTGAGATCTATCCGTGTGATCCGTTTGAATTGTCTGTCATATCTATATGCAAGCGGTCCTTGTTTGTCATGGAACACTATCCCACTCACTGGTCTGACAGCCACATGAACAACTACACCATCTTCATCACCATGTCCATCATGTACAGGTTCTCCACTGTCTCGCCGATAAACTATTTCCTCCCCTGGTGTGCGTTCCTCCGCTGGTGTGCGTTCCTCCGCTGGTGTGAAAGGAATAAAATGAATTTGGAAAATATTTGGATCTGGGAATATGTCATTTCCATCATAGTCACAGACGAGGACAATATTCCGAATGTTATCCCCTAAAGTGTCCCCGAAAACGGTTCTGTCCTTCAGGATGACTGGTTGGATGCGGTTTACTTTAGTCTCATAACCATATCCCTTCTTGAAAGTAGTTTCCTCATGGACGCCATAAAGAAAGGAACCACCACATTCAGTTTTAGTAAATGCGCTGATATATTCTGCAAGTTTATGATTCTTGATGATGTCCTCTGCTATTGCTCGAGCATCTTTCTTTTGAGAAAAGTGACTTTTCAATTGAATTGATCTGTTTTCGTGCACATTCAGAAGGTGATGTGCCTGGATCACACCAGGAAGTGAATGGAATGTGTTGCACAAGGATTTTCTTTCCCTAACAAATGTTCTGAGCGTTTCGGCACGAATATCTTCGATGCAGTCATCGAGTGTTGTCTTCGTATTGAATTTAGAAGTCGTTACGTTTGAAGAAGGTCCAACATACAGCACGAGAAAGTCGCCAAAGCCGTGACAAGCACAGTGACTGTTCAGTGTCTGTTTCCTGTAAACATCACAAAACTGTTTTTCATCTTGAATCAAATCGTGAAGTTTGGGGTCAGCAAACTCATCAAATGCGCCAGTGAAAGAATCTTCCGGTGCCAGGCCAACAAGATGAATCAGTATATATCCAGAGTTGGAATTCCGCAGAGCCGATACTTTTCTCCGTAACTCAATAGCTTTACTCTCTCTCTTCTCCTTTTTTCTCTTTTTCTGCTCTGGGTTTGCTCTCCCTTCTCCAAATAAGTACTTGACATGAATCCCGAAAGACAGGACATTGCTTTTTTGTGAAGCTCCTTCCAGGAACTGACGAGCTGCCTCCTCACTCCGTGGAATGCATTGACTGAAATGATAAAAATGTCAGAATAAATGCACCGAATAAAACGCAAGAAATCAAGAATCAAACTGTGCTTATTCATTGGTTAAAATGCAATACTTACTTCAGGCACTCGGTGTGAAATTCTGCTTTTACTTGGCGGCACTTTGCATGTGCGATATCCTCATTTTTCACATAAACTGACGCGGGCTCAGAACCTTTTGGTTTAAGCTCTGCTTGCCTTGTGTATAATATGTCTTCGGTTTTCACACACACAGTCACTTGTTCAAAACCTATTGGGGTAAGATGACTTTCTTTCTCATGCTTTATTTCTTCGTTCTTTGCATAGGTTGAAACCCGATCAAATTCTGTAGGGTGGCTGTCACCTTGTCTTGCGTATTTTACTTCCCCATTCCTGGTGTACACTGTAACTTGTTCAAAGCCTTCTGGTATTAAGTTCTGGTTCCTTGCATATACTATGTCTCGATCCCTGACAGAAACAGTTACGCATTCAAAACCGTTCGGCAATATGCTTCCTTCTTTCAGATATGCGATTTTGTTACCTTTGACACATACCGAGGCACATTCAAAACCAACTGGTATACAATCCTGCTTTGTCACATAACGCACGTCAACATCCTTGTTGTACACGTTTACACCTGGTGAATCTGGCTGTATTTCATCTCCACAATAGTCACATAGTATCATGGCATCTGGAAACCTGGTGATAAAGTTTCACATATGAACACAGAAGTTTGACTGTTAATACAAGTTCCTACAGAGGTACAAGCACAGATAGCATGAAACGGAGACGTCTATCCAACTGCGCCGTACATAATGTGGTATTGACTTATACACATGCGTGGCAACCACGTCAGCACATCACGTGATACACAGCCAATGAGCGTATACTTATCCTGCACAGCCACATTGTATGCAATGCTTTAAGAATTTGACCCGGTTTTGCAATGAAAGAAAAAACAACCAGTAAAGAAAAAGAGTTAAATTTGCCACACTGCCTATTGCATACAATATGTTTTAGGTAATCTGCATTAACAGTGTTTGACTGCTTGTTTGATTGTTTGATCGTACAATACATTACATCTAACTATGCATTAAGCTTTACATTACCGCTGCGCGAGCGATATGTTCACATGACTCATATCATTATGCAGGATTAGTATCGTTACTTGTATTATTCAGGGAAGTTGCCGACCCAAGAAAATAGGTTGTATTTGCGGGAGCGTATCGTACCCTACTGGTGGTACCGATCACAAACACACGAAAAGGCAAGTCAATAAAAATATCAACATGGGGATGTTTGTCAGTGATGCATTAAATGCAGAAATGTCCCTCACCCATTATTAACCACTCCATTATTCACCACTCTACCAATTCATCGTTATTATTACTATTACGTTGGTTGGTTCCTAGTTTAACCCCGCCCACAGCAATATTCGGCGTCTATATGGCGGCGGACTGTAACAATCGGGTCTGGACCAGACAATCCAGTGATCAACATCATGAGCATCAATCTATGCAATAGGGATACGATAACATGTGTCAACCAAGTGAGTGAGCCTGATCACCCGATCCTTGGCTATTAACCAATCAAAAGTCTCCTAATTTATCTAAAGGGAAATAAAACATATATTGCTAACAAAAGAGATTTCAATGTCGCTGTTCTGGTTGGACAGATTTACAATACCAGGGCCTTGTTCTTAGACCGAAATCTAATCACAGTGAAAGTCAACCTCACTGACGAACAGTAGATATCTACGACGAGAAGGCATATGGATATTGCACGGGCCTTAAGCACCTCGACATGCCCCCAATCGAGCATCTGTTTGATGTGTAAATTTGTATCGTAGCCCAACATAGGATGGCTCTTTGTAGTGGAGAAGATAAGTGCAAAAATAGTTCACTTAGTCATGCAAGCATGAAATTTGGCACAAATGTTCATTGGAGTCCATTCTTTCAAAAAAAGGGCATTAGCCAGGCGAAAAACAAAGATAGCCGCCGTCTACACTAAAAATTACTAATAATTACTTTGTAAGTTGTAACTACTTCAAGTAAAACTACTTATTTTAATTTTTATGACAAAATGAAGTTGTTTCTATAAGTCCCCCGCCGTGATATTGCTGGAATATTGCCAAAAGCGGCGTAAAACTAAACTCAGTCAGTTGTTTCTATAACAATACCAAAACAATGCATAAATCAAATGGCAGTTTTAGAAAAAGAAACAGTCGAAATTGTACCTGAACTAACAACTGCACCCAGAATAACAGAGAAACTACTCTTCACATTGGCAACTGCACAAGGTTGTGTATGTGAGACCAAACTGGTAGCATTTGCACCTGCCACGACAGCCAGACGTGCAGTCACACTTAGTGAGTTTTGCAATGGGAGAGTTGGCTGTCCAGAAGGTTTTCCATTCTTCTCCCATCCCCAGTCAGCTGGACTCTCTGCTTCCGGCTGGCTCAGAATTGCCTGAGCCCACACACAACCAGCCTGATATGCTGCACGTTAAGCGTGTTGCATTAGAGCTGCTCTGGTTGGAGGGATGGCTTCATATGGTCTCTGCTGTCTGGCAAATAAGTCGAGTCTAGCCTCATCCACACCATCTACAGTGCTAGACCTGTCATACATGATGACCACAAACTTCTTTAGGATCTCCATGTCATCACCCTCAATGGTTGTGGATGCTGGCCCAGTCTGGCAAATACTGGTGTTGCCTCTGGGGAAAATTCCCCATGTTTGCCAAGCTGTCTTTTCCCCCTTTATTCCTTACAGCTGGCACCACATCACAACCCGTAAAAGCATGGAAGAACAATATGCCTTTCCTTCTCTTGACCAACAGAGTTGTACAGGTTGTGAATGCCAATCCATCGAAGGCTCTGACCTTGGCCAAATAAGAGCCACAGCTGCTGCAGACCCATGCTTTGCAGTGTTGGGAACATACTCAGGCCAATCACAAGGACATCTGTGTCATTGGCTTTGATTATGATGGATTTGCTCCCGTGGGTTGAAGCATATCTGAAATGCATCTGTCTGCCTCCTCATGAGAACATTCGTCCAGTTCAGTCAGACTCAACTTGTGTGGGCCAAGTGCTTGGTGTCCCTTGGTCACAATAACCAAGTTTGGTTCAGACATCTGGATAATCCTGTCTGCCAGGATGTGAAACAGCTCCGACTTGTTGTCGTCATTGTGCCTCAGAAAGTTGTGCCACTTTGAAGGAACGCTATTCTTTTCTGTCACCTTGCGTCTTACTCCTTGTCCTCTTTTGGACCTTGTGTCTGCTTCCAGACTTAATGGACTGTACATATCAAAGGCAACATGTGTTGTCTTGTATATACTGGCATATGCACTAGTAGTTGGCAAGGGTTGGCAAGTCAAGGGTTGCATAGTCTGCAAATGTCTTAAACCTTTTTCGGTGGCAGTGCATGGATCAAAGCTGAACCATCAATGATGATGTCATCTGTCTCTGGCTCTTGGTCTGCAAGCGTGATGTGTTTCTCAAGTATGGAGGTCATTTGGGACTTTGGACAGCTATAAATCTTTCCACCATCACATAGAGATGCAGGGAATGATTGATTTTCGTGCTGAAAGAACTCCTGCAGGTCGCACTCCCTGATCTGACAGGAGATGAACAGCTTGGAAAACAGCTGACTGCCTTCTTTCAGCTGTTTCTGTTTTGATGGTTCTGTAAAAGTCTTTGCTTTCTGATGGGCTCATAGATTGGATTATGTTGGATTATCTTCCAATCTTTTCACAAGGTTTTAGTATTGTGTGCTACCTTTCTGCAAGTGAGTGTGAACAAGCTCCGCAGAGCTGGGATGAGCTACATCTTTGGTGTCTATTGAAAACAAATCTACTTCATCGAAAGGGTTTCCCAAGTTGCAGGACCTGAGAGACTTTCTGGACCCTTAATAGGAATGTCTTCTGGGCATGTGGTGTCTCCTCTTGGTGAAGACAGGGCTCACTGGCCTCTTTTGTTTGTGCCTCCATTTCATAGAGGAACACCAGATGGCTCACCTCAG